GCTCGCCAGCTCTGATTGCTCAGGAGAGGGTCACATGTCTATCTCTGAACCAATCACTGCAGTCGGGGCATAGGGTACACTGATTCATCTCCGAGGTATGGAATTGGCATTCATTTCACCCAAACTCCATGGACTGAGACAGTGGGGCAGAGGTAATTCCATAGAGGGAAACTAAGATGCTCTTACCAGAGGAGAAATGTACGTTGGGCAGGTGGAAGCAGCAAATGTCCACTAGAGGAACTCTGCCTCATTACCAAAGGGGGGAGGGGAAGGGGCGCGGTGTGACAGTGTGCCAACTTGGTAGGAAGGTGATAGTGTTGATTCATTTACTTCTTGCAAGAGAATTGGGAGAATAACCACTCAGGTGTCATGCTGCCAGGCAGGGAGGGAGGAGCCACAGTGGTAGCCACCAGCCCACATGCCCCTAAACTTCCTACCCATGTATCATCTAGGATGCATGTGCCATGGAGCATTTCCCTGGGAACATGAACCCCAGATACCTGTTGGTGCCTCAGGACAATCCAGATAACTTACCCCCTGTCATGAAATCTGCTGCTTGTCAGGGCTTTCACTCACCCAGCTCAGCTCATCAGTGGTGGGCATCTGTGAGTTTGAGACAGAGCACTTCCTTACGCAGGTAAATACCCAGAACAAAGACATATTAGGAGCCATTACAGAAGAGCGCTTTGCACTAACTGCTGCATATAATGTTCGTTTCCTCTTTGCTGATATTACCAAATGAGGGCTGTTTCTTAATGATTCATTTTTATTATCATTATCATTGTCACAAGGATCATCTAGTTCATTTATACTGCACTTGTTGCTGTGGAATCTAGATTATGGCCCTCGGGGCTGGTTCTGCCTATCTGCTCATGTGACGCAGGCTTCAGGGGTGCAGCCATTCTGCAGTGCTTCTTCAGAACTCCCCAGAGCTCACATGACACCATAATGCCCTGCTCTGTTCCCTGTCGGTGCCCCCTACTAAATCGTGAGGTGCTTAAACAACAGGGATAGTCCCTTTGATGCCCAGTGTCCTTTGGACCCAGAACATTATAACCACTCACCAAGTGCTTGTAGAAGAAATGCCATGCATAGTGATTGCAAAACAACGAGGAATAAGGCATAGCCCCTAACCTTGAGGAACTTCAAGTTTATTCATTACAGAAGTAACAATACTAAGGGTGGCACCAGCTGATGTTAACCAATTGTTATGTGTGAGATGCTGAGCTAAGTGCTTTGCATACCGGTACGTTATCTCATTTAATGATCTTGACAAACTCCCCCCATGTTACATACTATTACTACCCCCATTTTACAGATGAGGAAGCTGAAGTTTATGGAGTAGGCTAATATCATATCATTGGAAAATGGTAGAATCCGGGTTTTAACGCAGGTCTGCCTGATTATAATGCATATTTCTAGCCACTAAAGTAATACACCTTTATAAAGGCAGAATGAACAAAATGTATGGGAGAAGCTGAAATAAATTAATTCCCAAAGTATTGGCAGGGAGTTTCTTCATCAAACCAAATCTTGGATAAAGGTATTCAGCTGGTCCAGTTTTTATAGGGAGCCTTTGAGGAACCTCCAAGCAGAGATCTGGAGATGTGTCGGTGACACTGCCTGAATGCCCATGGGAATGTACGTGAGCCCTGAAACCAGAAAGCACCTCCTGCTCCCCATGGAAAGGAAGTATCTGCACACTTCACTAAACATGGCGTCAAAAGAGCAAGATGGCTGCGCTCTGCCCCTCCCAAGTTTACGTTTTCACAGAATATAAAGAGAAATCTCAGAACGCCATTGAGAAATGGAGATTGGGGACCTCATCTGTTAAACTGTGTGCTTTGTAACTTACCCCAAGCAGCTCTTCCTGTTGCTCTTTATCATTTCCCCACAGAGACCTGAGCAGGAGCCAGAGAAAAGGGCAGCACAGGGGGGAGCCCCTCGAGAGGTCATCGAGGAAGGAAGGGGATGGGGGAGTGGGGCAAGGGACCCTGAAGAGAGAAAAGCAAAGCGAGTAGTTGGCCTGTGGCCAAGTGTGTAGCAGAGACCCTGCAGACAGGTTGAGCGTGAGAAGCATTCTTCCCAAGCCGAGGGAGCCGGTCACCGCTCAGAGCTGTCCATCCGGAGCAGGCGTGTGGAGCTGTGGGAGATGTCTGTCATTGTCAGTAATCTCCTCTTGTCATTCAACAAACGGTGACCATGTGTGGATAGCGTGTGTGTGCACTGAGCAGGTAACGGGCAACCATGAAGAGCGATTTTCCCACGGGGAATCTCCTATGGGATGCAAATGATACGGTGGGGTAAGCAGGGGGTCTCTGGGATTAAAAGGAAGATGGAATTAGTAAAGGAAGGTCGTGTGTTGAAGAAAAACGTGTTTGTGACACTTGTTAGAGATGGTAAGGAGGACTTGACTCGGGAGGGTGGGACCATGCTATGACGCTTTGTAATAGGGGAGAGAGATGGGTCTCAGCTCTGAACACAGCAACGAAAACTGGTCGTTCATAGCAGGGGCAGGGTGGAGGTCAGTGGATGGAAAATTCCTAAAATGAAACATCCGGGATAAGGAGGGTCCCGGCAAACCTGGTCTAACAGGATTCCTGCTGACGGCAGGCCAGGGTAATCAGACATACCTGGGGGATGGTGGAGAAGAGAAACCTGATTAGATATCAGCGGTGATCAGATACTGAGGATTCTGGCTAAACAGACTTAGCTGGATTTTTTGCTAAAATTGAACAATGCAGAGACAAACACAGATGTCCAAAAGGCCTCCTTGGAAAAGAGCTCAGGAGAGCCTGAGTAGAGCAGGGTCAAGCAGAAAATCATTGCCAATACCTATCCCAGGCCGAGGGGCAGAGAGTGAGCTGTGGTGGGCTTCAGAGAGCTAAGTGAGTACTGGAAACTGAATAGCATTTACCCAAGCGAAGCACTGGAGTAGGAGCAAGGTGCCAGAGGGTTTTCTTAGAAGCAAAAGAAGCAAAGCTCATCCCAGCTGCTGTGGCTCAGTGGTTGAGCATTGACCTATGAACCGGGAGGTCACGGTTCGATTTCTGGTCAGGGCACATGCCCAGGTTGTGGGCTCGATCCCCAGTGTGGGGCGTGTAGGAGGCAGCTGATCGATGATGCTCTCTCATCATTAATGTTTCTATCTCTCTCTCCCTTCCTCTCCAAAATCAATAAAAATGTATTTTTAAAAAAGAAGAAGAAGCAAATCGGGCCATAAAAGACAGCATGACATTTCTAGGAACTACCGGGAACTTGGTCCAATTTGGGCTCAGAAGGAGGAGTGGGAAGTGGCCAGAGATGGCCACCCTCAGAGTTTGGCCTTCATCCTGGAGCCAGTGGAGCCCTCCATCACCAGGTTTTCCTTCCAAGGGAGAGCTGTCTTGAGTGGCCCGATGTGGCCCACAACTACCAATGATTTAAAAAAAAAAGATGCTGGCTATTTGAAAACATCCAATTCTAAGGCCCAATCATCTTGCAGGCAGATCCAAAGGAAGCACTTGGGTCATCTTTCTCTGGTTACAAGTGCAGGGTCTTGGTGTCCTGATATGAGAACCACCATAGCCTGAGAAGACGTATTTTGGGCTTGAGGCAGGTCAGAAATCACATACCTTTTCTAGACTAATTTCAGCTCAGTGAATTTACCTTAGCGGAACCTGAGAATTATTACCTGGACAGTTTTAAAAGAAACACTGATGCCCGGGCCACCCTCAGAGAGGCACTGCCATTTTTTTTTTAAAGCTCCCCTGTACCCTGTGCAGCCAGGAGGGGAGACGACAGGAAAGTGCACAGCTTAGCAGCCTTCATTCTTGATAAGAGACCGGACTCCCCTTGCCAGGTACTCTTGTTACGAAGATTCTGGGTCAACTTTGCTCACCTTCTTGGCAGATCTTCAAAAGCTGCCTGTGGCACCTGCTGAGACCTCTTGGTGTCCCACCCCCTTTTTACAGATGGCTGCAAAAGGGCCTTGTTCTAAAGCCAAATACGGGAGAGGGACAGCTGGCGCGGGAGGCTGACCTCACCCATCTCTGGTCACCTGAGGCCATCCTCTCACTCCCTGAGCCCTGCTGTCTGGGAGGCACTGAGTTTTGTCAAGGATTCCTTTTCCCCTATAGTTCCCCGGAAACTCCAAGCAGGCCTCATTAGCACATTACTCACGCTCCCCCAATCCCACACACCACCCTCCTCCTCACCCCCACCTCCAGATCTACTTTTTTTCTATTTGTCCTTTTTTTTTTTTTTTTTTTTTTTTTTTTTTTTTTTTTTTCCAGTGCAGTTGGGTTTTGTTCCCTGTGCCCTGAAAAGCATGTTTGGAATGGAAATGTTACTGGAAGGCAGCGGGTGTCTCAAGGCTCTGGGGCCCCGGCCCACCACCTCTCACGCCCTCCGCGCATCAGGACCACCGAGACACAAGCCCTTTAATACTTCCCCAGACACTGCTCGGTTTGGCTCCTTCCTCATTGAGACAGCAAATCGTTAACTCTGAGCCCCAGGTTGTTTCTTGTAGCAATTAACAGCTGCCCTGGTATTAATTCCCAATCAATAGCCCCTCCATGCTGCTCCTACAGCTGTCCGCTTCTGGCCTCCACAGCAATTCAGAGAGTAACTTGTTGGGGTCCTGAGGCTGCTCTTCCCACTGCTCCCCAGGAAAGGCCTCACAGGCCCCTCCGAGAAAGTCAGGAGTCAAGGGCCAGCATGAGCAAGCTGGAGCTCCACCCCCCTCCTTCAGGGTGAATGGGAGGCAGGAGGAACCAGGTCCCCCTGGAGTAGCAGCAGCCCCTTGGGGTAGTCATGAAGCTTTCATTTTTCCATGTTGGCTTATTTTTTTTTTCTTTTCATTCTTTTTTCTGTTTGTCTTGAGATGGCTGTATTTTCCCTCCATCTACCAAAAAGCACACAAAACAACAACACCAAAAAACCTCTCATACAATCAGTCTTTTTTTTTTTTAATTCAAATAGCCATCATTTCTCATTTTGCCTGTGGTTGCTTCCTGCAGCTCCCTGTGGACAGAACGAGACCCGAGAGGATGGCAAAATAATCCAGCTGCCTCCCTGCAAGACCGGAGCCTGGATCGTGCCCGCCATCATGGCCTGCTACCTGTTAGTGGCGAACATCCTGCTGGTCAACCTCCTCATCGCTGTCTTCAAGTACGTGGGCCCTTCTCCTGGGCCCTTGGGGGGAAAGAGGGGCGCTAGAAGGGCGTGCTGCTTCAGAGAGCCGTGGAGTATCTCACTGAATTCTCTCTGCTATTTCAGCAATACGTTTTTTGAGGTAAAATCAATATCCAACCAAGTGTGGAAGTTCCAGAGGTACCAGCTCATCATGACTTTCCACGAAAGGCCCGTCCTGCCACCGCCTCTGATCATCTTCAGCCACATGACCATGATATTCCAGCACCTGTGCTGCCGCTGGAGGAAGCACGAGGGGGACCCTGATGAAAGGGACTACGGCCTGAGTAAGCTTCAAGGGACAGCTCCCGGCAGCCGCACACCCCATATCCCCGCTGCTGCCCGTTGGTGGTCCTGCAGGACTGTGGTCTCTGACCACTGGGACGGGAACAGAGGGGTGTGCTTGCCACAGAATCAGGGCCAGAAAGAAGACAGCAGAGGCTGAAAGCAAGCATTCTTAACCTCACATCTTTCTTCCTTTTCTTTCTTTCTTTTTTTTTTTAAACCCTTACCTGAGACATGCTTATTGATTTTAGAGAAAGGGGAAAGGGGGGGAGGGAGAGAGAGAGAGAGAGAGAGAGAGAGAGAGAATGGGAAACATTGATTGTTTGCCTTCCATACATGCCTTGACTGGGGGGTCAAACCTGAAACCTAGGTATGTACCCTGACTGGGAATCGAACCCATGACCTTTCAGTGCATGGGATGATGCTCCAACTGAGCCACACTGGCCAGGCCAGCCTCACATCTTTCCTAGTGAGATAAAACCAGCCTCCAGCAGAGCTGTTTTAGCGCCTCCCTAGGTTCTAAGTTTCTTACTTTGCAGAGGTCCCACCACAAAATCTATCAGTATATTTATATACTCCCAAGACTGCGCTATATGTCATTTGAGCCTCTTACATGAGTTGAGTTGCAGGTGACTACATTTGATTTTCCATTATCGTTTCTTGACCCACCGTTTTGTGGGCCTTGAACGTTTTCCGAGCCTTAGAGGTGTGCCTATGTGGCTGCGTGAGGACAGCAGCCCTGCTTTCCAGTATTCAAAGGGCAAAACAGAAGCCCCTCCACCATCCACCGTCTAGTCCGGTGTTTCTAAAAGGAGGTTCTGTTAGCACTGAGGCAGATTATACTTCAGTGTATAGGACTGTCCCACACCAGTAGGGGATTTAGCACATCCCACCTCCAATCATTGAAAAGCAATCGCTCCTGCAGAATGCTAAATGTCCCTTAGGTACCACCCACAGTGAAGAACCATTGGGCATCCAGCCCCATCCAAGCAAGCTACAATGGTTTCTCTACGGAGCAAGCCTCCAGAACGAAGGCCCAGAAATTCCCTCCAGGTGAACACTGGTGGGTCTAAAGTTTGAAACCAAAACCATTTCACCACTTGCTTCTCTAAGACTAAAGCTTTTAACAGCAATGCCAGTTCTTTCTAGACATTAAAATTGGAGAGTTGGAAGGGACTGCGAATTCCAAAGTTCACTATTTCCATCTAAAATATAAATTTAAACCAACAGAAAGCTGGTGAGGAGGTGAGGGTTCAGATTCACAGTGGATCATTTTCTATGCCTGTATCAATCTGTAATAAATTATTTTACCTGCTGTTAACAGAACACCAGCCTAACAATAGCACAAATAAGTAAGGTTTTTCCCTAGCTGCTTTGGCTCAGTGGATAGAGCATTGGTCTGTAGACTGAAGGGTCCCAGGTTTGATTCAGGTCATTGACCTCATTATGGGCTCCAGGGCTGTGTGTGGGAGGCAACCAATCAATGTATCTCTCTCACATAGACGTTTATCTCTCTCTCTCTCTCTCTCTCTCTCTCTTCTCTCTCTCTCTCTCTCTCTCTCTCTCTCTCTCTCTCTCTCTCTCTCTCTCTCTCTCTCTCTCTCCCTCCCTCCCTCCCTCCCTCCCTCCCTCCCTGCCTCTCTCTCTCCCTTTTTCCTTTCCTCCCTCCCTCCCTCCCTTTCTTCAACTTTCTCTAAAAAAAAAAAAAAAAAAGAGGAAAAATATCCTTTGCTGAGAATTAGAAATCTTATTTTAAAATAATAAAATAAAGCCCTAGCCCAGTGGTAGGCAAATGCATTGGTCAACAGAGCCAAATGTCAACAGTAAAATGATTGAAAAAATTTTTTGATTGAGAACCAAATTTTTTCAACTTAAACTTCTTCTAACGCCACTTCTTCAAAATAGACTCGCCCAGGCTGTGGTATTTTGTGGAAGAGCTACACTCAAGGGGCCAAAGAGCCACGTATGGCTCTCGAGCCTCAGTTTGCCAACCACAGCCCTAGACTGTTTGGCTCAGTGGACAGAGTGTTGGCCTATGGACCAAAAGGTCCCGGGTTCGATTCCGGTCTAGGTCACTACCTGTGTTGTCGGCTCGATCCCCTGTGGGGGGCATGCAGGAGGTAGCTGATCAATAATTCTCTCTCATCATTGATGTTTCTATCTCTCTCCCTCTCCCTTCCTCCCTGAAATCAATAAATATATATGTGAATTAAAAAAAGGTTGAGCAAAAAATATTTTTTAAAAATAATAAAATAAACATAAATAAGGTTTTATTTTGCTCACAAAGCAACTAGGTGGATAAGACAGAGCACCACAGTGGCTCACTGAAGTCACAGACCCAGAGTCCTATTTTTAGGATCAGCTATTTGTGAACGCACTGTCTTGTCTCGCGGTAGCAAAATAGCTGCTGCACTTTCCGTCATCATTTATGTTCAGGCAAAAAGAAAAGGGGAAGGTAAAAAAAAAAAAAAATGTAGAAAGACACAGCCGCCTCACTACAGTTTATCAGGAAAGAAAAATATCTTCCCTGCCTGCAGTTTCTTGGGCTAAACTGGGTCTCACCTTCCAGGAAAGCTGGAAATGTGTGCATTTGACTTTCCAGCCTCAGTGGTAGGAAGTGGGAAAGGGGAAATGAGGTTGCAAAGGGGCTTTTAGTAAGGCCAGTGAACAGTGTCTGTCTTTCACATTCTTCAGCCCAGAAATTGAGCTTGCTTATTTACTTATTATTTACTTATTTATTATGGATTGCAGAAAGGAATGGAGGAGAACATAGAAACATCAATGATGAGAAACATTGATCGGCAGCCTCCTGCATGCCCCTTCCTGAAGATCAAGCCCGCAACTTGGGCATGTGCCCTGACCAGGAAATTGAACCGTGATCTCCTGGTTCATAGGTCGATGCTCACTCATTGAGCCACAACAGCCAGGCTGGAAATTGAACTTTTGAGAAACCTCCATGCGTTGTGTACCTTTCCTTGATTTAGCTACTTGTTTGGCCTTACAATTTGAATGGTTGTGACCAGTCCCTGCAGTAAATCTGCTACGTTCAGATGAACTTCAAAGAACAATAGTGACTCTAATGCACAGGAAGAGGACAGTGACACACTTTTCCTGACGGGGTTTGGGTTTAGTTTGAGATTTAGCAGAGAATCGAGGCCCATTTGCCTGACCTTCATTCAGATTTGGAATGCCATGAGGCTCACAGATCAGGGGCCATCGCTTTTACTTCTCTGCCTCACACCTCATTTCTCTTCCACAGAACTGTTCATAACTGATGATGAGCTCAAGAAAGTGCATGATTTTGAAGAGCAGTGCATAGAGGAGTATTTCAGAGAAAAGGATGATCGCTTCAACTCGTCCAATGATGAGAGGATACGGGTGACTTCAGAAAGGTGAGTTTGCTGGTCTCATGTCTCCTGGGATGTTTTATGCCTTGGCATGCTTCATCTGTTGCTTTTGTTTGTTCATCCACACACACACAAATATCAGAGACCCCTTGTGTTTCTTTGTATTGTCCAAGAAATTGTGGAGCTTATGAGAGCACAGAACGTTGTCTGAAGGGTTCACAGATCAGTATCCCAGACATACAGATCCTAGAGTCTCCAGCAGGCAGAGGCAGCCATTTTTCTGGACACTAGACATGGCTATGTTCAAACAGCACAGGAGTTCCTGGCTCAAACCCGAAATCGGAGAATTCTGGCCCAGACGCAAACCAAGAGAAACCCAGCCCAGCCCAAGGCTCTCCAGCAGGTCTGTGTATGATGTCCACCCTATCTTCTCCAAAGTATAGAGAGTCCTGGTGCCTGGCCTACATGCATGCTCAGTACCTTCCAAATAAACAATAGCATGAGGCTGTGAATTGCATAGAATAATGGTTGAAGTTTTGGGGATTTTTTCAGGAATTTTTTTTTTTTTTCTTCTTATGTTAACAAGACAAAAGCCAAGGAGTAAAAGCAGGGTTTTTTTCTACACAGTGGTCACATATTTTTAGATCTCATTGACCAAATGGTTTTGTGGACTAGCAGGGCTCAAAGAAAAATCTCAAAATAAACAGGAAAGAATCATTTTCATTTAACAAGTCTAGCTTTATGCAAAGGAACCCACATTTTCTTACTTTCCTCATTTTGCCGCAGACTAATAAAAACGTCATTCCGGGCTGGCACAGGCATAACCCAAAATTTGGGAACCGTTCTAAAGAACACCCAGAGTGTTACAAAGCATTTGGCGTAATTTACATTTTAAACATTTGCAATATAAAGAGGTCAGAAGCAGATTATAAATAATGGGGAAAGGGATATATAATATATTGATGATTTTAATCATTCACGCTTCCCAAGATATGAGTCAGTCACCTCTAGTTTTCACGAAATGACATTTTGTCTGCTTACCCACTTTATACATTTTCTAATGGTTCTGCCAAAATTATACAAATGGCTTTTTTTTTTTCTGTCCCTGGCCCTTTATTTCATCAAAGAATGCAGCCTACACAGTAGGTGTATAATGCATATGCCACTGAGTGATTGTATCCAGAGGTACTCAGCCAACATTAATAAAGTGTAAAGCATGAATAGATCTTATACACATCTGTCATTGCAAAATAGAACATTCCATGATGATATGATGTGAAGCAATTTTCTGGCACACTCAGAAAGGAGCTGCAAATCCAAAGATCTTCCTCATTCTGAGGCCCTGAAAAAGCTATTTATTAATGGGCCCATAACCATATGGTTCCCAGAAAATTGCGCCATGTAGACACATTGCCCATTGCTCAGACTTATTTCCAAAGCCTATGTCCAGGGGCCTTTGAGATGCTGTTTGAATTCAGAAAGCCATTGGCTGGGAGGAAAGAAAGGCAGGGGAGGAAGTGTTCAGACACAAAGAAGCCTTTGCCTCTCTGGGGAACTAGCTTGAGAGGTGCAGGCACCAGGGCATGTGACACATCGGGACCAAGTCACCAGTGCCTTTTGGAAAGGAACTAGCACCTTGACCTCACCACAAGCCCCGGTGCCAGAGAAGTGAACCTAAGCCAAGGCCTTCTTCTGCTCCTGGTGCCACTGACTGTGTTTGGGGTTTCATTTTTGCTGGTGGGGGCGGTGATAGTGGTGTGTTTTGCATTTGTAAATGTTCCAAAAATAACATCTTTAAGCACTGGAATTGCACTGGACACATCAGAACTACCACAAGGAGCACAAGGGAACAGAGATCAACTAAGGGAAGTGTGGCTCCATATTACCCAGCTCAAACATCTTCTAAGGGCAGTGGTCGGCAAACTCATTAGTCAACAGAGCAGCCGAGCTGCAGTTTGCCGACCACTGCCTTAGGGAAAACACTTAAAAAACATTTTAATAACGTACTAATGTCTTTAACCTAAAGTCAAAACTTCTGGGTAAGGATAATGCCTTCGCAGTGGTTGGCAAACTCATTAGTCAACAGAGCGGTAAACCGCAGCTCAAGAACCACAGTTTGCCGAGCACTGTTCTAGGACATCATGACTTTTCTTCTTGGCAGTAACCATTAAAGCAAACTGGGATATACCTTACTCCCAGCGTCAGCCTTTAATCTAAAAGGATCTTTCCCGAGTCTATAGGCTTTGCATCCTTTTTCACTTCACGTAGATCCAAAAAAGTGATAGACACATAACTATTAATAGTATAGTCAAGTTATAACTTGGCCTTCTTTGGGTCATGATTGTTAGTGATAAGGAGCTGATTCTGGTCAAACCACTGATAGGTTTAAGGCAGAAGTTGTATGTTATCCACAGTCCTTCTCATTTTGTTAGTCACTTTTACTATCAGTCCCCTGTGGCTTCCTATTGTTCCATAAATTTGTGTCATTCTTATCTCCATTTTATCTCCTGAGAGGTTTGACCTGAGTGAGCGCCTAATTACTAACAATCATAGCCCAAAACTCTTGGTTTGTTCCTCAGAGCTATTTGTATCTGCTATGCATGCCCATTTATACTTAACTTTCCAAGAATTTATTATTTTTTTAATATATTTTATTAATTTTGTACAGAGAGGAAGGGGGAGAGATAGAGAGTTAGAAACATCGATGAGAGAGAGTCATCGATCAGCCGCCTCTTGCACACCCCCTACTGGGGATATGCCCACAGCCAAGGTACATGCCCTTGACCGGAATCGAACCCGGGACCCTTCAGTCCCCAAGCCGATGCTCTATCCATTGAGCCAAACCGGTTTCGGCCCAAGAATTTATTTTTTAAATCAATGGACACACTTGCTCTGGTCAGTGTGGCTCAGTTGGTTGGGCACCATCCTCTGCACCAAGATATTATCCCTTCGACTCTCTGTCATGGTACATGCTTGGGTTGGGTGCTTGATTCCTGGTATGGGGCATGCAGGAGGCAGCTAATTAATGTTTCTCTCTCAGATCAATGTCTCTTTCTCTCTCTCTCTCTCTCTCTCTCTCTCTCTCTCTCTCTCTCTCTCTCTCTCCCCTCCCTCCCTCCTTCTCTCCCTTCCTCCCTCTCCCTTCTCTAAAAATCAATAAATTCTTCTTTTAAAAAAAATTAAGAGACACACTTTAGTTATGGAACAAACATAAATTTTACTCCGGGAACATTTATTCTTTTATAACTCCTACATTAAACCCCTATCAGTTGCATCATGATCTAAAATATTATACAGTTAAGTCGTTAAACACATCCAGAATTCTGGAAGAAAATAGATAAAACCGTCCTTTTTTATTTTTTTTATTTTTTTCCTAAAGCCTCAGAGAGCCTCAGAGCCATCAGGAGAGTTTTGTGAAGAATGGTTTCTTGACCCTGTTCCCTCCAATTCCTTCTATTCCCTAAGGCCACACTTTTTTCACTCTGGGGCTCCCACTGGGCACCTCCTGTTTACCCAGAAGACCCTCTTCCTCCTCGTACCTCCTGTCTTCCTCCCATCTCCTTGGGCTTCTTCATCTCTGTGTTCCATTGACTGCCAGATCCCAGCTCTTCTGCTGCCTCCTGTTGGTGCCTTAGCTGTCCCTCACCTGCTAGTTTCTCTGCAGAGTAAGATCCTGGGGCTGAAGGGAGTGAGGTGTGGGGAGCAGGGTCCCCCCAGTTCAGAGAGATATTTCACAGATCTTAGACCAGTGATCACATGCAGCATTCCTAACCGAGCATCTTCATCTCTTTCAGTATCAGCCCTGTACACACCGGGCTCCAAGACAGGAAAGGAGAAGGAGAAGGGAAACCATCCTGCCTTTTGTGACTCTGCCAACATTAAAAAGCTGCTAGGGGGCCGAAACCGGTTTGGCTCAGTGGATAGAGCGTCGGTCTGTGGACTGAAAGGTCCCAGGTTCGATTCTGGTCAAGGGCATGTACATTGGTTGCGGGCACATCCCCGGTAGGGAGTGTGCAAGAGGCAGCTGGTCGATGTTTCTCTCTCATCAACATTTCTAGCTCTCTATCTCTCTCCCTTCCTCTCTGTAAAAAATCAATAAAAAATATATATTTTAAAAAGCTGCTAGGGGGACCCAGTACCTAGAGCATTCGAAGCGAAAAGTCTCATTCCACAGAAAGGCATGCTCTGCCCTTCCCCTGACTTTAATGAAGAAGTGTTTTACCCACTTACCCAAAGCTTATTGCATTGCAAAATACGAAATTGTAGTACCTACAGAATCACACTCCAGCAGCCAGATGATGAAGAAATAAATTATAAGTCTGTGAGACACACAAACTTATTATTTTAAGTAATTTGTTTCTCGGGCTATGTTTATACCACAAAACAAAGTTAAACAGAGAGAAGCTGAATTTTTCTTCTGAAATAGCTGTATTAGCTGGGTGGCTAGCATGGGGTTTGCCAGATGAAGAAATGCTCAATGTACAAGTCTCTTGAGAATATACGTGGCTATGGTGACTCAGTGTGCCTGGGCCCTGGGCTGTGCCGAGCTGGTTATGGGGCAGCAAGAAAGAGCAAGGGGGAAAAAATGTTTCCAAAACCTTAGGCTGGGTGAAGCGAAGCTGAAGGATAAAAGAACACAGTCATTCGGCTGGCATGGCTCGGTGGTTGGGCATTGACCTATGAATCAAGAGGTCACAGTTCAATTTCCAGTCAGGGCCCAGGGCATATGCCAGGTTTTGGGGCTTGAGCCCCAGTGTGGGGCGTGGAGGAGGCAACCAATGATTCTCTCTTGTCATTGATATTTCTATCTCTCTCTCCCTCTTCCTTCCTCACTGTGAAATATCTCTCTGAACTTGAGGACCCTGCTCCCCACACCTCACTCCCTTCAGCCCCAGGGTCTTACTCTGCAGAGAAACTAGCAGGTGAGGGACAGAGCTAAGGCACCAATAGGAGGCAGCAGAAGAGTTGGGACCTGGCAGAAACAGATAAAAATCTGTTTTAAAAAAAAGAACAGTCAATGGAGTGAGTTGAGTTGGGGGGTGCAGGGGGAGACGGGTGGATTCAGAAAGAGACAGAAATGTGTGCCCAAGGCAAAGGAATCACATGTCCCCACTCGCTCCACCGTGAAGAGCAGGAGAACAGAGTTTTGTTTTTTTGTTTTTTAAATCCACAGGTCTCTCAGAGAGGGGAACCACTGCCTCTTATACCTCCTTCTGGCACTGAAATGTATATCCTTCCCTAAAAAAAGGTGTTACTGTTATTAACACACCACCCCCACTAGCACAACAGCTGGGGACCCAGCTCTGATTCCCACTGCTCTTTGCACAGCGTATTCTGTAAATGCAGGCAATCAAGCGATTTGCTGTGCATATTGGCAGTGTGGGGAAAGTATCTTTATCCTCTCTGGAAAAGTTGAGAATGGATCGCTTTCAGAGTCTCCCAAAGATTTGCCTTTGGGCATTTAAAACATTTGAGCTCAAACCATGACTTGGCTTTGCTTTGTCTTTTCCAAGTTCAATTAAGCAGGTGAAAAAAGATGGCAGAATTTTATGTTTCATATGTGGCTTCTCTCTTTGTAAATAAATGGCCAGGTAGTTTATTAGACAACTGAAATCAAATTCATAACACTGATTGACTCAGTGAACCTGTATCGCCACCTGGGGGTACTGGGCTGGCCACGTGGAAATGGAAACAGGAATATGAGACAGGTTGTGCCCCTATGAGTTTCCAATGGAGAGAGTCAAGACCTGGAAATAACTGTAAATAAGGCATCTGTGACCAGCTACCCGGACAGACAGAGAGAAGGGAGCAGGCTAGCTTACTTATTGGTGGACACTCCAGGCTTTCCCACAAATCACTTTATGTAATCTTGGTTAAACTTCTTAATGTTTGTTCCTCTCTTATTGCTGACAGGATTGGATCAGATTAAATCAATTCCAGGTGCCTCAGCAACAGGACCACATTCATTCCTTTGGAGGCACTACATTCTGAAAAGGTTATTGTGAATAACAACAACAACAAAAGATCATTATATAAATGCAAAATGAAAATTAATCCCAGTCCAGGAACACTGCAATATGAATAGCTAGAGTCTAAAATTCTTTAGCCAAAAAAAATAAATAAATAAAATAAAATTATTTTGCAAAATTCTGGGTCAAGTCATCAAAATGCAACATTCTGGTTTTGTTAGCGACTCTGATAAGCCAACACCCTAATAGTTAGTTAGGTCACTAAGCCCTGTCCCAAGCCACAGTTCAGCCATGGGAGTGGTATGAGGGTGGGCCTCCACTCCAGTAAGAACTATTCAGCTTTGGTTTGGTGTCTACTTATCAGGATTGTGCATCAAATTGTATCAAAGAGGGGAAAGGGGATTCGCCATTAGAAACCACTGGATTAAATAGTCTCTCAAGCCTCTGCCAGCTCAAAAACATTTGGATTCCATGATTCTCAGTGATAGCATCATGCATTCTCTCCTCCCTCAACCCTCCTGTACCCGCTCCATTTCCCTCTAGTAGGACATGGATGGCCAAGGTCCAGGCCTGGCTTTCGCTCTCTGCCATGCCCTCTAAGCCTCCAGCGAGGAGCCTGGCCCCCTAGTGACTCTCCCTCTCTCTGCTCCCCACAGGGTGGAGAACATGTCCATGAGACTGGAGGAAGTCAACGAGAGAGAGCACTGCATGAAGGCTTCACTCCAGACCGTGGACATCCGGCTGGCGCAGCTCGAGGACCTCATCGGGCGCATGGCCACAGCCCTGGAGCGCCTCACGGGTCTGGAGCGAGCCGAGTCCAACAAAATCCGTTCCCGGACCTCCTCGGACTGCACGGATGCAGCCTACATCGTCCGCCAGAGCAGCTTCAACAGCCAGGAGGGGAACACCTTCAAGCTCCAAGAGAGTATAGACCCTGCAGGTGAGGAGACCATGTCCCCAACTTCTCCAACCCTAATGCCCCGTATGCGAAGCCATTCTTTCTATTCGGTCAATATGAAGGACAAAGGTGGGATAGAAAAGTTGGAAAGTCTTTTTAAAGAAAGGTCCCTGAGCCTGCACCGGGCTACTAGCTCCCACTCCATAGCAAAGGAATCCAAAGCTCCTGCAGCCCCTGCCAACACCTTGGCCATCGTTCCCGACTCCAGAAGGCCGTCGTCCTGTATAGACATCTATGTCTCGGCCATGGACGAGCTCCACTGTGACATCGACCCTCTGGACAACTCCATGAACATCCTTGGGCTGGGCGAGCCGAGCTTCCTGGCTCAGGTTCCTTCCACCACTCCTTCAAGCAGTGCCTATGCAACTCTCGCACCCACAGACAGGCCTCCGAGCCGGGGCATTGATTTCGAGGACATCACCTCCGTGGATACAAGATCCTTCTCTTCAGACTACACCCACCTCCCGGAGTGCCAAAACCCCTGGGACACCGACCCTCCCACCTACCACGCCATCGAGCGGTCCAAAAGCAGCCGCTACCTGCCCAGCGCGCCCTTCCTGCTGGAGGAGGCGCCCATCGTGAAGTCGCACAGCTTTATGTTTTCCCCTTCGAGGAGCTACTATGCCAACTTCGGGGTGCCCGTGAAAACAGCAGAGTACACGAGCATCACAGACTGCATCGACACGCGGTGTGTCAACGCCCCGCAAGCGATCGCCGACAGAGCCACTTTTCCCGGGGGCCTCGGGGGCAAAGCGGAGGACTCCTCCTGCTGCCACCCGGAGAGAGAGGCAGAACTGAGTCACCCCAGCTCTGACACGGAGGAGGGCGAGGCCAAAGGCCGGAGAGCCGCCCTGGCCATCCCCTCACAGGAGGGCGACCCCGCCGCAGACAGAACCCTGTCCAACAACATCACGGTCCCCAAGATAGAGCGTGCCAACAGCTACTCCGCGGAGGAGCCCAGCGCGCCCTATGCCCACACCAGGAAGAGCTTCTCCATCAGTGACAAGCTCGACAGGCAGCGGAACACCACGGCCAGCCTGCGGAATCCCTTCCAGAGGAGCAAGTCCTCCAAGCCGGAGGGGGGCCGGGGGGACAGCCTGTCCATGAGGAGACTGTCCAGAACGTCCGCTTTCCACAGCTTTGAAAGCAAGCACAACTAGCCCTTCCCACGCAGCATTGCCAGAGGCTCAAGAAGAACCCAGCCCCAGAATCCTCCCCGAACTCCACCTGCTCCCCTTCCTTGAAACGCACCTGCTTTAGTCTTAGCTGAGCAAAAACAAGCAATGCCTTAGGAGGTGTGCACTCAGAAGTCACTTCTGGGCCACAGATTGAGAAAGCATTTGATCTGGCCCAATGCCAAACACGGGGGATATGTCACGTTCACCCTTGACGGGCAGGGAGGGGGGAGAGAGGGAGAAGGAGGGTTGAGATGAATGTGTATCACTAGGCACTTCGGAAAGCCTCGAGCTCCGGGAAGGAAGGGCTTCGCGCATTCTCTGTGCCAAGGAGGCAGGCATCTTTCCATTTCTGACCGTTATGAAGCGTTTTAGGATGCAGGGCTAAATTGCGAGATGAAATGAAATAAAGTGGCCAGCATACAAATGAGATATGCTAAACTTCAATTCTGTTTTCTTTTCACATTGGCTCCATCACTGGTGACTGATGAAGAGCATCCTTTTTATTCAGTATAAGCCGGCAGCAAGCAGTTCTACCTAACGTCCCACATCCTTCTCATGCCACCACCTCTGTAATTGATCATTGTAAAGAAAAAACAAGGTAACAGTCCTAGTTCACCTGTCTCTTATATATTCACTTCTGGTGCCACAACTGTTTATCTTTTTTTTAGAAGAAAATAAGGGAAAAGAAATGCCTTTCTGTATTGCGAGCGGAATGAACGAAGAATTGATGTTAAAAAAAAAAATGTCAAGTGGCCTATTATATACAGTGGGCATTCAAGGATAGTCGAGCAAGCTCAGGATGAATGTAACTAAATAATTTTATATTTTTTTAATTTATTTTGTATCTCACCTGTCATCAATGAATTCACTCACTGAATATATAACAGTGAACTAACAAAAAATACAGTGGGCAGCATGCGCCTAACATGGCCACGTGGAATATTGCTGTATTCTCACCATCCATGTCGTGTGTTATGCTGCTGTGTAACCTTCATCGTGTGCATGCCTCCACCATGTCTTCTGAACAGATGTAACTGCCAATTTTTCACACCACTCATCACATGACCATTTTATATATGACTACCGGGTGGATATTTTCATACCTAGAGTTTTGCCATTCACTCTGAGCTCAGCATAAATTTAATCGGAGTTTTTCAAGGGCTGGTATCTTTTTTTTATGGAAATGTTCCAAAGTACTTTTTAAGGAAGTCTCAAAACCATAAATAACCTTAGAATTGACTGGGAGTTTGGTATCAACCCAGAGCCATCAGATGCAGATATGCCATGAATATTTTTCTTATACAGAGCTATAAAAAAGATACAGTAGACTAAAATAGAAAGCAGACAAACCATGTAAAGAGTTCTAGAGAATATGCTGCTTATACACATATAAATGCATTTACACAGAGACATGTTATATATAGTATATAAACAAGCATACAGAGCTTTCTTAAGAGGCTTGGACTTTTCTATCGCCTTGAGGTATAACCAGGATTTTTAATAGCCAAGGAATTTCATTGAAAGAATTCATTATATTTCAACAGATGTTGATATTATACGTTTTAAAATCCCTATAACCTTAACTTTTCTTGTACCCAACTAGAGTTATCAAAATGACTTGCTACCTGCCCTTTACCCACCCCCATCCCTGCCCCAACCCCACCCCCCTACTTTTTCCCCTCAAATGCAGTCACCATCATGACATCTCAATCAGTCTGGTTTCTCCTGCACAAAGAGATTCCCTCAAGTATAATCTGAACAGACCTAACTCTCACCCAGATAGTATTATGGGTTCTAGGTACCGGTATTCATACTTCTAGATCAGAGTCTGGATTTGAAGTGGGATAAAGAAATTTTGATCCTCAAATCTTTGGATTTCTGTTTGGATTACTGATTTTAAAAAAGAATAAGGTCTTGAAGGACAGTGACTGAATGTTCCTGGTCCCTAAACAAAATCTGGTTCTTTTGTTTAGTTGTAGTTGTGAACTTCCAATTTTCTCATCATGTGAAATCAAGTAAATATGAGGACAAAACCTCTAGCCTTTGACTTTTTTTTAACCTCTAAATAAACTTTTCAGGTGTAGGAATAGTGATGAGGCCACATATAAAGAATTAAGAAATTCCTTTTTCACTCCTTAGTATTTAGGTGAATCAGAAACAAGCAACCAGAGTCCTTTATATATGACTACTCTAAAATTTTGAACCCAAATTGGCTATTTCTCCCTCAGCAAAAATGCATTTGATCTGACAATAAGTCACTTCCCCTTAAGCTTCCTAGAGTCACGAATCTCTGTGAGGATCTGATGAAAGCTCTGAGCCCTTTCCCCAGGAAAAAAATGTCTAGATGTGAAAGTTGCAATGTAACTTTAAAGGGTTCCTCTACCCCTGCTTCCATATTGATTGATAGTGAGGCAGAGGAACCATGTTTGTTCATAATCAATATGGTTATAATAGGCACTTTACATTTTGAGACCAATTCTCTGTGATTCTCAGGAAGGCCAAGTCTCGACACCAGAGTTAGAAGCAGGCTTTTGTTGTATTTGTTCCATAGGTTAGATGTTGCTAGCTGGATGTGCTCACGTCCTGACGTGGGGATAATTTTAAGTGTGGAGCACACTCACTCTCTGAGAGGAAGTCTAGAGGAATCCAGGAAGGAGGTGAAGGCAGTGCTCACTGACCACAGAGCAGGACCTCACAGCACCTCCCGGTTCTTATTCTGGACCAGATTGAGAGTGGGGGAAAGTCTAAGCCCGGTGTTTCCATCGCGCTTTCTGGAGCGAACAGAGCAGGACCTGGGAAACAAAATCCTTATCAGTTCTGACCTTTGGGCTGCCTGTGTTGTTGTTGTTGTTGTTGTTGTTGTTGTTGTGCATGAAAACAAAGTTCCTTTGGGATGTGTGTGAGATATATAAGCCAAATTTCAATGATTTCAAACACATATCGTGTCACAGTCATGAGCCATTTCTTTCCCGTGCGCATATATGTGTTACGCTTTAATTCATTTCTTCCTCTTCCTGGATCCTTTGCCCACTGATGTGGCATCGATTCTGTGGCCTTGTACAGGCAGCTTGTGTGCCGCTCATGTATTCCACCATGTCCCTGCCCGAGGGGACGCTAATTACCTGTCTCGGTGAATGAGGCGGCTCACGAGCAGCAAATTACTGAGGAGCATAAACAAAGTCATAGAGAACTTGAGGAAGGGATAGCTTTGGTTTAACCATCTGCTCCTACGGTGCCAGTTTTTATATACTGCTATATGTAGTGATTTATTCTAAATTGCTTGGTCCTTTTGGGGGGAGGGAAAAAAAAAGGATGTTTTATGAAAATGACTGTGGAAATTTCCTGACTAACCAAGATATCAATAGTTAGAGAGGCCCTCCTTAATGGATTTGAATGAGGAACTGGAAGGCTTGGGGACCATTGCCATGGCTTGTTTGTGTATTTCTTCAAGCCAGATGATGTCTCAGCAGTCAGAATGCAGCACTTTATAGAACTGGATAATTTTTAAGTTTAGGCCCTAGGTCTAACATATTATTTAGCACTTTGAAAGTTCCCCCTTGAGTATATATAAATATATATTTGATTATATAATCAAATGGGAAGAAATGTACTTGTAAAAAACACAAAATGTGTTTCTTCTGAATGTTTCCAATATATTCTAAAAGATGGTTTCTATAGATAATGTCCTGGTGGATCACTAGATAGTGCATTTATCCTCCTTTCTGAGGCTGCACAGTCTAACCTTCCTCAGTGTTGGGCTGTTTAACTTCCCCAATGATAATAAATATTATCCAGTCATCCATCATGCTATGTCTATAGGCTGTACCATTCGACATGTTGGGCGATGCTGTACTATAAAATACATGTACACATGTATGTAACCCACGTTTAACCCAGCATAGTTGTAGCATGTGGTTGTGTTAATGAGCATTACAGGACATTAGCTCTCTAATCATTTACAAATCTGTAACGTTCAATAAAGAAGCACATGTTGCAAGGATTAATCATGTCCCCAGTTCCATGTGGCTTGGCATCCTCATGAAATGGGCACTTCTGTCCCTGACCTGCTTTATGTTTTTCACTTCCCTGTAGACCACTGTACAATACTTGTATAAGTCGATGTACAGCCTCTAACCAGCCCTGCGAGTTGTGCTAGGCACGTTTGTGATTTTGTGAAAGACGGACTGGCATGTTATGCACAAGACTATCTGAAAAATGAACTTAAACTAACATTTTAAACTCCAGTCTAATTAGCTGTTTGTTTACCTCTGCTGACCAGATGTGGAAGCAATGTACAGTATTTTATAAATATGCTCATTTAGTAGCACTACTATGTTTGTTTCTAGATACAGTAATGCTAATGTGTAGGTGGTACTATACTTGTTTTAGATACTGCATTATAACTCTCTCTTCTCTAATAGCAATGTGACTTAAATGAAGTAATCCTGCTCAAACCCAGTCTTAATTTTGTGGCAACAGAATGCATGCACGGCTTTAGGCGTTTCTTTTGACTTCTTAAAGGCACTTCGCCTTTTACTCCTGCCTGCTGCGACACTGAAACCAGTTAGGAGCCCACTCAGATAGTTGGGCTTCTTAAGTTTGGAGATTATGTACAAGTTTTAGAAATTAAAAACAAAAAAAAGTTACCATAGGGGTTTTTTTTAATCTTTTCTTTTAAGCTCTGAACAAATAATATGAAATAAATTATTAACCACAGGATTATAGCTATGGGACCTGGAGGTGGCTAGCCAACACCTCTTGGGTTTACTGCAGTCTAGGTGTTGGAGCATCTGTGATACAGGAAAGACACTTTTCTGATTCTTCAGGGCCACTGGGTACCAATTGCTAAACCAGAAGAGATGAGAGTGAGAAGAGCATTGATGACAGTGCAGAAATGCGCAGACCAGTATGAATGAGTGAGTGGTCCAGTGATGTATGACTTCCCTCCTACCTGGTGGCTTTTCTCTGGTAGCTGAGCCTTGCCTGGGGGGGCGGAAAGATGGGTGACTAGGCCCTGGGTGACTCTGAAGAGTTTGCCCTTTAAAAAAATCAATCACCATTTCATTATCAGAAGCCATCTAACATCAGGAAAAGAGAGCAGCCAACCTGCACAGTCTTATAGATGACTGCTCCTCAAGCGAGTGGAGAACACTGTTCTCTCAGCCTGCACCGGCCTAAGCTCTCTCTTCCTCTGACATCTGTCTCTCTCACTCAGATTAGAGTCAGCCGAAGGAGGAGTTGGTTGTGATGTAAGGAAAATATTATAAGATTCCCTCCCCCTTTGTTTTTTCTTTGTAACGCATTTGAGAATGTAGCTGTGTGACTTTTATCTGACGCATCTCTTGCACTGATCGCTGTGAATGAAATCAAGACAATTTCTACATGTGGCCTAAGGATTTCAGGGGCCAAGGAATCTCCATGGCAATAAGAGTGAGGTGAACTCCCCCTCCCCACCTTGCCTTCAGGCCACTGCCTATTTGCACAGTGTTTGGAGAAGGACACATCCCTAGGCTTCCGGAGGAGTGTCCACATCAAACTCAACCCAGGCCTTGCTCTCGCGGGGGCAGGCTACCCAGAGCTGGGGGACACAGTGGGGTTCAGCCTCCTGCCTGGAGAGCAATCTTCCTCACTCCCTAGACTCTCATCCTTTCTCTTAGCTCAGTACAAGATGCTTTTCGGCCAGACCAACAGACCCTGGCTCCCGTTACCTCAGTACCCCATGGGCTCTGTCTGGCACAGTTAGCTGAACCAGTGGCTACTTAAAAAAAAAAAAAAAAAGCCAAACACTCAGACCTTACCCCAGCCCTAATCTTCCCACTAATGTAGCATCCCCTGCCCCAACTCGACCCCCACACAACCAACTTGGCTGGTGTTTGGATCAGCTGCAACCAATTCTTTGCCTGTCTGACTCCCAGAAGGATCCTGCACATCTCCACCCCAGCTTCCCACATGTCATTCGAGCCAGCCATCTGCACCTAGATGGTGGTCTTGCAAACTCAGATAGGTGGGAGGGGAAGGGTAGGGGGAAAGCCGGATGCAGAACACAGTGTGTGCATGGGACTGGTGAGAGACAACAGGAAGAAGCAGGGTCTGTAGGGCATGAGAGAACACACATCCCACCACAGAGACACTCACATTCAGACGTGTAAACACCGCGCTAGCCAAACAGATGTACCTGCCAGCAGCAGCATTCAGTCCCAAAGGCAATAGCTCGGGACCTGTGATTTAGAGCCAGCGGGGATCGGATTCTCGACTCCAGCTTGGTGAGTGTGTGCATGGAACACACTGAGGACCCAGGCAGGAGAAAGGAGCTCTCACCCTGGCCAAGGCATCCCGTCCTCCTGGATGATAGAGGCCCCATCCTTCTGGACCCGAACGCAGGGTCTTTGTGAGGGAGGGTCAAGAGGAGGGTGCCGAGGCATGGTGTCAGGATCACCTGCTTCCTGTCCCCACAGCATCCGACCCGAGGGTCTGCTCCTGCGGTGCACAGCAATACCTGCCGTCACTGCCCTCATCGCCGTTTCATAACATAGAACTCAAGACTCTCATTTGTAACTGTGCTAACCGTAGTTTGTAATGGGGGACATTGTTGAAATATCATTTTTAAATGAATTCCTATAAATAAAGACAATTTTGGAATTGGGTTTGTTAAATATCTATAATCTTTTTTCCTTCTTTATGTACGGACAAGCAGCGGTTTGCATACCTATCGACGTAAATACCTATAAATTCTTAGAGGAATTGTTCTTTTTTAAAGGTCTATTATTGGACTCACAATGCACTTTGAGCTTGTTTGTTTAGATATGTAACTCGAAGCAGAAGTTGGCAGATACCACAGGAAAAAACTTTCTGAAATTTCTGTAACACATGTTTTGCAATAAAAAAAAAAATGAGAAACCTCAGTAGTTCAAAATATGACTTGGACTTCCTTGTGCGTTTATTCACCGCCATTTGTTCTCTGTCATCCTCATGCCAAGAACTGTTGGGGTCCACAGAAATAACTGCTTAGGGCCCATAAATAGAGGTTGCGAACTGGTGGCATAGGGGTCACATCTAACTAGCAGAGAAGGGGTGTTGATGGACAGCACCATGTTTGTTTGTTTGTTTTAATTTAAAAATGGGTAGATTTCCCACTTAACTCCAACTTTCTGACTTTTCTTAAAAACTCTGAAGATCTGGTAACACGAGACCTATATTCCCACATGACAATCACCACCTCGATCATGGTATCCTGCCTGCCTTTTCCTAAGAAGTGTGTGCTCTGTGATATACCACAATCCCTACCACTCCCTCTGTCTCTACAAATGGTTCCCTTCATTCATTAACACTTCCTGGAGAGCCCTATATGCATTGGAGTATGTATTAAAGGATATAAAAAGGCAGCTCTTAAATTTCTAAGTAGGAAAAGCTTAAGGTAGCAATTGCCTGGATGAGATAGAGGTGAGGAACTTGTCTTCACACTGAAGGTGTAGCAGGCATATTTTCACAATCCATTCTCAAGTATATTATTAGTATCTTCAATGGGATTGGCCTGGAGAGAGCTGAGGGCAGGGAGAAAGGGCTCAATCCCACCCCTCATTAAGTAACTCTGGTTGCAGCTCCTGCAAAAAGAGAAGAAGCAATGGTTCTTGAACATACAAATATTTTTATTTAAAATAACAGTGGAAAGAAGAAGGTAGAACATATATACATGCAATTCTTTATTCAAAAAAGTATTTGTTGCCAAAACCGGTTTGGCTAAGTGGTAGACCATCGGTCTGCAGACTGAAAGGTCCCAGGTTTGATTCTGGTCAAGGGCATGTACCTTGGTTGCGGGCACACCCCCTACCGGGGATGTGCAGCTGGTCGATGTCTCTCTCTCATCGACGACGTTTCTAGCTCTCTATCTCTCTCCCTTTCTCTCTGTAATAAAAATCAATAAAACATATTTTAAAAAAAAGTATTTGTTGAGAATCTACTATGTGCCGGTGGTGTGCCAAGGTGAGTACAGTGGCAAACTGCCATGTGGAGTTTTATCCCTAGCTGTAATGCAATGTAATTGTATGCAGTCATGTCATTACCATCTAGTTGTCTAAGAAAGACTGTGAAAACTAAGACTCTAAAGTAGGGGTGTCGAACTCAATCAGAGAAGGGGCCAAAATCTAAAATCCAGCCTAAATCGTGGGCCGAATGGTTTACTGAACAGTCATAAACTGTCATTGTGATGGAAACGCAGCGGAGTGCAGTGATGACAGCGCAGTGTGGGCCACATTGCAAGGCCTGGCAGGACGGATTTGGCCCGCGGGCCTTGTGTTTGACACATGTGCTAGAGGTTCAGAGATGATGCTCTGAGTCTCAGGCAGGGGAGTGTCTGTGGGGGAATGTACCCTGAAAAATGGGGAAGGTTTAACTAATGACACAGGAGGACAATCCAAGTAAGGGGAACGTTAATTTGACAAGCACCTGGATATAAGAGTGCCTCCTGCTGTTTGGGGTTCTCAGGTGGTCCCAGTTTCATGTCCAACATGGGCCCCGGTTTAGACAATAGGCTTTGCTCCCACCTGCACCCGTCTCTTTCTCTTTCCCATTGGCTTGGTCTGGTCAATATTTTGAAAATGGAAGAGCTGACATCAACTTGTTTATATTAAGAAATACACTCACTTATGTAACGCATACCGTATTTGGCCATGTGCCCTCAGATTTCCTGGAAAATCAGGTCAACCATCATTTGCTCCCAAAATCTCAGATGTAGACTGATGTAGGGCTTCCTTGAAAGAGATAGCAATGGAGGTGGGTAATATCTAAGTTCTCTGAATGGATTTGTTTATGTTACTCTATTTGATTAAGAGCCAGAACATGGCTTGCCATAGAAAGGCCTGGGCTATGACACCCTCAACAGTAACATGCTCTCAGCAATTCCTTCTTTTTCACCCTTCCTGAGATGGTTGATGTAGCCTCTACCCAGGCATTCAGCACGTTGCTTTCTTAGAGTCTGAATCCTTTTCCGGAAGCCCAGGTTTGTATCACTGTCCTTATCTTACAACATATTATCAGGGTAGACACTATGTCATCGTGCAAAGGCCTGTTTTCACTCAAAATCGCCAACTGTTTCCCAGTATCCTTTGTCTCAGCACAAGAAACCCATTTCAGCACATGTTGAGTATTGTATCCGTAACATAAATGTACATATTTATCAACATAGACAAGTTACTTGCAGAAAATTATGTCAGCTATTAAATTTTCAGCGTAGTAACTAGACCAAGCCCATGGGAAAGGAAGGTAAAATACAAGTGCTGGGAGCCTCACTCTCACATCTGGGGTCCATACTGGCGCTGCGGCCCTCAAAGCCAGGCTTCCTGGAAGTTCCAACCAGGATGAAGCACTGTAATATTGGGGTGCTTGTCAAAACATTCATTTGGAAGGGCTACCTTTTTAAACAAAAAAACACCACAAACCACGTGAATTAAACAACAGAAATGTATTGTCTCACAGCTTTGCAGGCCAAGTCCAAGATCAGGGTGTTGTCAGGGTTTGTTCCTTGGGAAGGCCGTGAGAGAGACTGTGCCATGCCTCTCTCTCAGCTTCTGGAGATTTTTCTGGTCGTCTTTGGCTTATAGAAGCATCACCCTCATTTCTACCTTCATTTCACATGATGTGCTATGCTCTCCCTGCGTACTGTCTGTATCCAAGTTTCTCCTTGTTAGAAGGACACCAGTACGGAGCCCACCTGCTCCGTATGATTTTATCTTAACTAATTACATCTGCAATGGCCCTATTATTCCTAGAAAGTCACATTATGAGATACAAGGGGCTAGGATTTCAACATAAGAATTTTTTTTTGGGGGGGGGGGGACAACAAAATTCAACTTTTAACACTGGGCGAATTTGTCGGTAGAAGTGTCATAATCAAACTTATCTTTTTAATATGTTTTCAGGTAAAGAAATCAGAGTTCAAGAATCAATTGGAAACAACATGTATTGATCAATAGGAGACACTAAGTCATACCATGAAGCCATTAAAAATATTTAAATCTTTGTAGATTGACATGAAAAGATGTCATTGGTATATTATTAAGTCTCTTAGAGCAGCATACATGGTCGAGTATGAATTTTTGCAAAAACTAAACCAGGTATACAGAGATGAATATATTTGTATATAATAATAAAAAGACTGAAAGAATACACCAAAAGGAATAAGAGTTTTGCAACAGAACTTTTATTTCTCTCAAAAAAACTTACATGCTGTTTAAGAGTAATCTGAAGTGGTCTAAGAACAGTTAGCTTAAGCACCTATAGATATCAGCTAGGAGGTTTTTGTTGCCTTCTTTCTGTTCAGAGACGTGTTCTAGGCATTGTCACAACAATCAGGTCCCCTGTACGGGCAAATTGCCTCCTCCAAGGAGTGGTAAAACTTGGAAGAAAAGATAATAAATGTGATAGCAGTAGGTTAACTACTAATGTCATGAAATTATAATTTTAGGCATAAATACAATTGATGCCTTTTGAACAACTATTTTATTCTGGAAGGACTGAAATTTTTATTCAAAAGGCAAGACTGCCATGACTAAGAATATAATTATATGTTGCAGTTATTTAATTAGAGCTGTGGGAAAAATCAAGATGGGCGGCCCAAGTATAGCTCATCAGCGCTGGAAGTGTTCACGCTGAGACTAAATGGCCACCAGGTAGGCGGTGTGTGGACGGCTCCCACACTCGGGTAGGGAATCGGACCTCACATCCACTTTGACCTCCTGCATGGAGCAAACTAGACATGGTTTTAGGATTAAGATGAAAGGATCCACATTTGTAGCCAGCCTGGGTCCTCATAGACAGGACTAAAGAAGACAGAAGCCAAAACCAATTTGGCTCCGTGGATAGAGCATCGGCCTTCAGACTGAAAGGTCCCAAATTCTATTCAGGTCAAGGGCATGTACCTTGGTTGCGGGCACATCCCCAGTAGGGGATGTGCAGGAGGCAGCTGATCGATGTTTCTCATCAATGTTTCTAATTCTCTATCCCTCTCCCTTCCTCTCTGTAAAAAATCAATAAAATTATTTTAAAAGAAGAAGAAGAGGACAGAAGATGAGAGTCCCAGGAGAAACAGAGCTGTAGCCACAAAAACCATGAGGCTGTGCTTGGGGAACAGGAGGAAGCCGGCCTGATCAGGGCAGAGGACTCATGTTGGAGGCTGGTGGGAACGTATGACAGCCCCTTATGTTCCCCTAATCCTCTCCACTCGTCCTTGAAGTTGACATTATTATCCTCCTGTCCCAGATGGGGGAAAGTGACTCATCGTTTTATGTATAAATGCCAGATTAGAGTTTGGACTTTGTTCTGTGATAAGAAGAAAGTGAAGTGTTCTGGGTAAAAATGTGACATTTAGAAATATGGCAGAGGAAAGAGGTGTGAAGGATTTTTAGGCAAAAGGTGGGACGTGGGTAGAGGGATGGAACTGGTTGACATAGATATTTCTCAATGATTTTTTTTATTTTTCAGAACACAAATGTAATCCATGCAAAAGAATCTACCTGGTCTCCACCATGTATGTCACTGGAGATGGCAGGGACTGCTCCTAAATTGTATTGCCTTCTTAGGGATTTCAATCAGACCCGTCTCTGCTATTTGGGGTTTCTATCCCAAAAGCAAAAGCTCCCTAGTGGCCCTGTGTTATTCAACCAATTTTAGTGGACCATTAGCTCAGTCTGCAGCGGCAGAAAAACCAGGTCAGTTCTGTAAAGTGTACAGACATTCCAAAATTCCTGCAGCTGCTTTTGATCCTAATTTGTTGTCTCAGTTTCTCTCTCTGTTATGTGGGGTTTTGAGGTTGTACCAGGTCAGTGGCTCTTCAATTTCTTGAGTTATAACTAACCATTTATCAGACTCTGTGAGAACTAAGCATCCTTCCTAAGGACAGAAAAGAAGTTAGATTTTGGAGACTC